CCCAGCTCAGGGCAGCTTCCCTGCTGTTAACACAACTATCTCCCGGAGATCCCCTTCTTATCTTTGCCTCCTATTTCTATGCAATAGAGAGTGGCCATCAATGAACAGGTTGAAAGATGTGCAGATACCTTTGGGTCCAGTCATATATTTAAGAACTATCCAAGTAAAACAGTGGCCTAAGATTTGGTAAAGAGTAGGGTTTTATTGCATTGTAATAGCTTACAGTTTTAAAAGTTGGAACAGCTTTTGGTCTGTTGTGATCAAGTTCAGTTTTGTTTTTATTTTTTACTAAATCATCTGATTGTGGTGACTGGGGGCCTGTGCCTGAGACAATTCCTGGCATGTCCTCTTCCCTCCCTCCTGTGGTGGATTAGCTGGCTGATCACTGTGCAGGTACCCCAGTCCCCTATACAGCAACCATTCAGGCCCTAAGTGTGAACAACATTCAGCCCTCCCTCCTGAGCGTGTGCTGTCTCTAGGGCTCTACCCTTAGTCGCCATAACACATGTAAGTGTGTCATTAACCTTTCTGTCTCTGTGCGCTCTGAAAAAATGCTGTACGTTTTGGAAGTAGTTACTGTATGTTGTACAAGCATTTGTGCACATATGTAAAATAAAAGTTATATAATGCTTCTATTTAGATCTGTTTTCTGGGTCTTTTCAGAACTGTCCAGCACAGTGGAGCCACTGAAATGCAGTTTACAGCAAACAGAGTTGCTCAGGGTGGAAGGAAAAGATGAGTCATTTTCTGTAGTGTTTGAATTTAAACACTGAAAGGAAGTCTTGGGTGGAAATGCTGCCTGGCTTGTGAAAAAGCAGGATGAATTAGCTGGTGTTACTGGTCATTTAATATTGATTGAGTGGTGAGGGGACTCACCTCACCATCTGGGACCTTAAAGAGCCTATCAGAAACAACGCAATTCCTCGCCACTTTTTTAGGGGGTGCTGGCCAGTGTGGGGATTTGAACCATTGACCTTGGTGTTACCAACACCATGCTCTAACCAGCTGAGCTAACTGGGCAGTTCTCCCCTAAGTTCCATTTATTTAAAGCAAAATTCAAGTTTTGCAGCGCTATGAAATTTCATTTACTTACTGTACGTAGTATTTCATTGTGTCTCGGGCAGCTTGACAAAAGTAGAGAATCCTTTGCCTGCCCTATAATGACATGTCAAAGTGCCCATCAAGCGTAGGTCCTATGAGGGGCGTTTAAAACCACTCCTTGGGTGACTTGAGGTTAGCTCCCAGAAGGCATTGTAACATAGTGCCAAAGGGCCGCTAAGAAGCTGGGGTCAGGCAGGCTTTGGTTGAACATGCCACTCTGTTTCTTCCAACGCAATCCTTTTCCTAGAATGTTTCCTTGAAGATGTAGCTAACTGGATCACATTCCCAGTTCTATCCTCAGTTGGAACAAAAATGATGATGGTAGACGTAATCCTCTATCAGGACTTCCTCCGGACCGACACCTGGGAGAGAGTCACACTTAGATTTAGAGACCTCACACCTCCCCCCACTTGGAAGGAAGCAGTTAGCACCTCACCATCAGCATCGTCCAGGTGGGTGTGGATGACCTGTGAGGAGCCAGCCCTGCCTCCCATGAGAAAAGAGAGATCTAGAATTGGCTCACTTAGGCCTGTTGACGTTTTCAGCCTGAGCCAGTCAGGGAGGAAGACTTGGTATAAGTTTTAAGACAGCATGTAAAGTGGAAAATCACCTTATAGTTTACATTCAAAATGATCCTTATTTTAACTTGTCTGTGAAAGAGTTAATAGTGTTTAGGGGCAATTATGTTATAAAATTATGTTTTGTGTACTATTTACCTCCACGAAATGATTTTATAGGTAAATATTTGTAAATTTAAATGTGTATGGGACATTCTGTGTTGATAGACCATTTTTGGAGTACTTTGTATCAAATAATAATACTTGGTATAAAATACATTTAAAAGATTCAGCCCCATCTGCTTTTAACATGTCACTTCTCAGCAACGCTGGATCAAAACAAGCTGTACTACTTGCCAGCAAGGACCATGGGGACCTGCAGCCGAGTCAGGGAGGACCAAACACCTGAGTGCTCAAGTGAGACTTGAGGATCTCTTACATTCCAAAGCCCAGGCCACCCCCCTCAACCAATTAAATCACAGCCTGGGGGGTGGGGGACACAAGCACATTGATTGCAATGTGGAGACAAGTGTGAGTGCCAGTGTCTAAAGGCATAAGGCCTTCACCATCCAGTGAAAAGTTAGACTTTGACATTAATGTCAGCTTCTGGTTCATTGACAACTAAGTGTGATAAACTTTCTTCCCTTTTCATTTAGTATTTATTCCTTTAATCACTCAGTTGAAATTGGTAGAATTTTAACTTGTATTCTCATCTAAAATTGCTAACCTCCCTCCCCAAACACAGCCACTCACCACTGTTAACTGTCCATTTTTATCTTTATAGACTTGTTCTTCTGGTCCAGTGTCAAAAACTATTGTGCCTTCTTTTCCAGGACTACTATAAAACTGTAAACTTAAAATACACAAAGTGACAAATTACTGACATTTTATTTGCTTCCCTTATCCTTTAATCTGCAACAGAAATTTACTTATGAAACTTCACTAGTTTCAAGATCAAATTCCCGTTTTATTGCGTATTTGAGCAATCAAAAGAAAACTATTTCTGCAACTGGCATGTCTCTATAGTTATTCTCAAGTCAATTTAGCAATTCAGTTCTTCAAAGGGCCAATTTGATGTATGAGAACCACCTACATGTTGAAACTCTTTTTGTGGGCTAAGTATTCCCTCAGAGGTGCAGCAGAATAGAAAACGCTTTTGAAGGATTCAACCCTCTCCCTTTTCTAACTATGAGTTTGCTCATCAGGTTGTGAAAACGTGGAGCAGCGAAAGTCTGAGGAAAAAGAAATAGTACTCTCCAGGAGCAGCCTGCTTTCATGGGGGCTGTGGGAGTGCTGAAGCAGCTGTACGTGATAAGGTCTGGGAATGAAGCGTGGGCCTCGGGAATCCGAGCACCATCAAGCACCAGCTATGCGACATCAGGCATGCTGATTAACCTCGTGCTCCACTTCTCCTGCCCATGAAATAGAAAATAGGGCACCTGCTTAAGAGTTGTTGAGAGAATTAAACACAAGTATCATAGTCTGTGTGCTAGGTATTTTTCTTTTACATCCTAAGAAATTTTAGCGCATTGCCTAATCTAAGCAGCCTGTGAAGCTGCAGCCAAGTGTGCTCAAGCACCTGTCCCAACAGGCATCCACTGTATAGGTGTGGCTGTAACCTGCTCTGGCCCAGGGGTTCACCTTTACATGGTGATGACTTCCCTCTGGAACATAAGCACCTCCTCTGAAAACTGTTCAGGAAGACTCTTGCTTTGTGGGGTCATTGACTTCATTTCTCTGGAGCCCGAGATCACAGGGGTGAGGACAGAAAAAGATTCTTTACAGGAGAGGGCAAGGGTACCCCCACTAGAGGCTTCTTTCCCACACCTTTCTGGTAGATGGTACTTGCTTGTTTTGGGGGGAGGAGGCAGGCATGGGTGAAAGGAGTAACATTTGCATCTTTCTTGATCTGTTAATAATTTAACATTGAATTACTTCCTCAGCTAAAGATGATGCCACCCACCTTCCTTGAACAACATTTACGATGTTCTCCTTCTTAACCAGCATGACGAGCTTAGTAACCGCTTCAAATATGTGTTCACACTGTAAGATGGCATCCCCCTGAGGTGGAGAGGAGACGAGATGGCTGGTTCAGTATTAGTGGTTTAAGAGAAAAAACACACACTCAAATATCATGGTTTCCCAGTGGTCAGCTTAACACTTTATCAGTGTATTGCTTCCCTCTTTTAGCAGCGACTGGTGGCCTTCAATTACCTTTTGCTTGTTGTCTTCCGGTGAAACATGAATGACTAAGATTCCATCAGTCAGATTGCTAGTGGAGATACCTTAAGACAGATCCAGAGTTAGGGGCCAGGAACTGGACAGCTTGACATAAACAGAAAAAAGATGTGCCCAGGTGTTCCCGAACCCCAAGCTCTTTTCCTCCTGGCTGGGCCCAGTAGGATGAAGGGTATACTTCAGAGGGATCTGAGTAAAAGATCAATGTGGAAAGTGACTACTGTCCAACCTGGACACCTGAGTGAAGCGGGTGTTGATATTTATGTCAGAATAAGAGGCACAGGCTAGGCCTGGCAGTTCCCAGCTTTCTGGGTACCCTGCACTTGTGGCACCCATATGAGGGTTGCTTCATTACTGGTATGCCCAGTAGCTGACTCAAGTCAGTGAGTTGTCTTAAGGTTGCCCACTTCTTACCTTTGAGTGCTGAGTATTCTATTTTCTGCTTGATTTTGGCAAGTTCCACAACATAAGCTGCTTTTTGAGTAAGAATGAGTTGCCGCTGCCGTGCCTTGAAGCCTTTCCTGTCATATTTAATGACAGGGATACCATACTGCAAAGGACGTTACCATCACCATGAGGGGAAGGTTACTTGAAACACTCAGGCTCAAGTAGATTTTGCACAAACAGACTTTTTTCTGTGCCCTGGTTCTCTGCGTGATCTTGAGTCCCAGCTCTGCCTTACTGAGTTGCCCACTGAAGCAGTCAAAGCTATGATTGCTCTGCCTCACAGGTCTGCTCTGAGGGGTCAGCACAGATGAAAACACTGTGAGCTTGAAAACCCTCACAGCCAGAGGGTAATCCAGTCCAGCCATGCAGCCTTCTATTCTCCAAGGAACCAAAAGGAAAGCAGCCACCCGGGCACATGTACAGGCAAATGTTCACCTGCTGCTACATGCCAGGCAGTGACCTAAGCACTTCACACCCATCGACTCATTCGTCCTCTCAGTAACCCCACTATCCACACTCACAGAAGATCAGAGGCACCAAGAGCTGAAGTAACCTGCCCAGGATCTCACAGCTACTAAGTTAAGCCAGTTCACCACCCAGGCAGGCGCCCACACTGCCTCTTGCTAATGGGGGGATGTGTCATGATTAAGCTCAGGGCCACATTTCAGTGTCAAGAGAAAACTGAGTTTCTAGGATGACAGAGAAGGACCATAAGAACAGCGACAGGAGCCCTGGCCAACCCAGCCGCACTCCTCTATTTATAGTGCTTCCAGGCAGACAGACACTTTATGGAGAAAACAGACACTGTTCTCAGACTTAATCAGAGAATCCTGTTTGAGGCTGAGGACACACATTGCCTTACCTGGATTTTCTCATTGCTAATTAGTTGAAGCACTTTGGGATTAATGTCTCCTTCATCTAGGGAGGGAACCAGAACACCGTGAATCATCACTGATTACCACCCCTGTGCAAAAGTCACAGGTACCTGCTGGTTTTATGTCATTCTGTGCAGTGATTTCAGCTGGGGAAATAGCTGTCAGGAAGTGCTAAGGGGTCGAGCATCTTCTTTTAGCATTTTTTTTAGAATTGGGAAACTGAGTACATAGATGGGAAAATGTACTTACCTATCCGACTGTTGGCAAAGGGTTGATTTAAACTTTCTGCATAGCCTTCTTTCTTCCCCCTGAATATTTCACTTGTAACCATCTTTTGCTGCATCTGGTAACATTAAAAATATGAAAATGGTAGCCGTAGGGCTCATTGGGATAGAGGAGTTTTAGACCCATGGTATCACATACTTTGCTGGAAAAGCTGTAGGAGCCCGTTACACTTCTGCATAGAAGTCAAAACACATTCCTGGCTTTGGCCAAAATGCCCTAAAAATTAGATTAGTAGAGATGGGTTGACACTTCTGCTGGTCCCCTTACTCGCACGGGCTTCCTGAAAGTGGAGTTTTCAGAACTTGAGTGCAGTTTCTTCTAGATCAGAGATCAGCAAACCCGCAGGCCTGCCATCTGTTTTTGTAAGTTTCTTTGGAATACAGCAGTGCCATTCACTTACATGTTATCTAGGGCTGCTTTTGTGCTGTAGTAGCAGTATTGAGTAATTGCAACAGAGATTGTATGGCCCACAAAGCCTAAAATATTTACTCTCTAGCCCTTTACAGAAAACATTTGCTGACTTGCAGATAACTGAACAAAACCAGACCTCCAACAGAAGGGGGTCCTGCATTCTTTGCAGTGTGGGGGCAATCTGGATAATGTTCCCATGGTAACAATAGGAGCCATGTTTGTTACAACAAATAGCTGGCATTCATCAAGTGCTCTGTGCTAAGGTGTCTACATGCATTTATCCTCCACACATCTATCAGGCATGGGACTATCATGACCCTCGGCTTGTAGATGAAAGGGTGGATGGGGACTTCTGGCATTAGGAGTTAACTGCAGGACCAGTGCTCGCCCCTCCCCCCAGCCCCATCCCGTTGCTCCGCAGATGACATGCCCCTACCATTGCTCTCCACTCCACCGTGATCCCACGGCAGTATTTCCGCACCAGGTTCCTCGTGCACATTTTCCTGAGAAGATTTGATGCCTGTGTGGAGAACACACATCTTTCCCACCTGCCTCACTCACAACTTGTCTTGGGCTGTGGTGACCAAAATAGAGGCTTTTAAAACACAGCTGAATTCAGTTTGATTTAAGATACATCATTAATGTCTTATATTCAAAGCAGCTGATCTTCCAACCTTGCTTTATCTTTTTGCTATTGCTTAACTAGAGGTTCTCAAACTTGAATACGTTTGAGACACCTGAGGAGCTTGTTATAATGAGAGTTCCAGAGATTTTGACTCAGTGGGTTTGGGGTGGAGCTCAATTTTAGAGTAGCCCCTGCTCTATGTTCCATACACACAGGGTCCTTGGGATACCTTTTGAGAAACACTGTTCTAGGCCACAGTCACCAAACCCTTCTATCAAAGATAGAAACTATTCAAAAGTGCTATCTAAACAGATCTCCATTGGTTTTATAATGCTAGTAAGGCTATCACGATTTCTTGTACGGCACCCTTGCAAGGAGGTGCTTTGCTAAGGCAGCCCTTCCAAACTGAAGGAAGGCAAAACAAAGAAGTACAAAAGTTAAGCTCCATCAGCATCTATGTCACTTGCAACATGAGACCCAGTTCAGTCCTTACATTTTCCAAGATGCCAGGAGGCCTCAGCCAGCTCTTGTCCAAGACGTTCTGTGGAACATGATACCGAAGATTCAAGATGTAATTCTTCCGCACGAACACTATAAATTCCTCATTGTCAGGACAAAGGGGTTTGTTGCGATTGATGAATCCCTTGATGAACCTAGAAAGGAAAGTGTTTTGTTAGTTTTCTGGCCCATTTCATCACTGAGACTTATGTTCTGTCCTCATTTGCTTGATTCAGAGGAGGCCAAAATGGTAAGGTTAAATGACCACACAGGCCAAATCTGCCCTAAAGATATGTTCTACTTCACCCACACTGCTTTTTGTTTTGAGTGGCTTAAATTAGTTGTAAGTAAAAAAAAAAACTGGGAGGTATTACATAAAAGCTGGATTTCAGCTTTCCTTGAAAAATCAAACGACCTGGCAGTAGTGGCCTGGCATTTCTTCATGGCAGCAGTTTACTAGAGCAGAGTAGTTTGTGTTCACTTTGAAGTATACTGAGCTTTCCAGTTGGCTGCAGTCCCTACTATACCCTATTGTCTTATCCAAAATCATAAGACTCACTCCCTTTACCTGCCTGGCATCAGGAGGCATTTGACTTTGTGACTTTTGATCTAGGCTGTAGAGAATTTACAAATGTATTGAGTTGTGATCACAATCAAATTCAGGAGCTCAGAGCGAAAGGATAGAACTGAATTTCCAATGCATCCTGAAGGGAAGGTCTCCTTCCTGCACAAATCCAAAAACCACAAAAAACTCAATCAAATCCATCACCAGGGTCCTCTGCAGTGCACCAGCATTTAGTGACCTTTTTCCTCTGTTGGACCTAAGAACTTACTTTCTTATAATCTGCACAGCCCACTTTCTTCTTTCGATCTCCTTCCGAGTCAGGGCTCCACGCCAGTGGGCTTCCAATGTAATGGCTGAAAGAGTTCACTGCTGGCATTAGAAGGTGAGCACAATCATATGTAAATAAAAAAAGCTTTTCCAGAAGTGTTCATCCACTCCACAGACATCTGGACATCCACCACAGCACTCCGCTAGTACAGATGGAAAGTCAAATGAATGTCATCGGTTCTTGCCTGGGGGTGCTCAGATGGACAACTGAACCAGGGACACAGGACAAGACAGGGTGCTGTGGGAAGCCCCAAAATTACGTGATGGGGTCAGAGTTTCCCAAGGTCTTTTTCAGGGACAGGAGTGGGACTTTTGATAGTAGTCTCACTACGCAGTGTTTTCTTTGATTTAGTTGTCTACATTTAAAAATTGGTTTAAACAGGAACACACAAAAATGAGATTCTGGCTTGTCTCCCAATTTTTAAAAGCTTTCCAGATTTTTTTCAGTTATTCAGAGTTTTAACATGCTTTTCTTTTATTCCTCAGAGTAGCATTGTTTCTATTACAAAAACGAGCAGTTGGAAGCAACTCAAATGTCCATCAACAGAACAACTCAGGGGCCAGCAAATACAGCCCACAGGCCAGCTGCCTGTTTATTTAAATAAAGCTTTATTGTAACATAGCTGTACCCATTCATTTACATATTGTCTAAAGTTACTTTTGTGCTACAGTTGAAAAGTTGAGTATCTGTGATGACCCACAAGTCTAAAATATTTACTATCAGTTATAGTAGAATACTATACAGCTATGAAAATGAATAACTAAATCTAAACACATCTGGTTGGATTTCAGAACAATTTAAGTGCAAAAATGTCACCAAGAAATACCAATAGTATCATTTTAAGTTCAAAACATGCCAAACTATAAATATGTTGTATCTTTGTGATGCATCCATAGATGGCGAAATAATAAAGAAACCAGGGAGTGATAAATGCAAAATTCAATAGAGTGGTTACTTCCACAAAGTACGTGTGTGGAGAGGGGAGGGAGAGATGGTTTGAGAACAGAATTGGAGAGAGACAAAAGGGAGGGGCTTAAGGGTACTTGTATTTGTAACCTTTTTAAAGAATTATTCTCTGAATACGCACATTGTGGATCAAATAAAACATGTCCATGGAACAAATACAGGCTACTATGTTATAGTCCCCCGGTAAATAGGTAAAAATGAGAACAGGCCCCAGAACTGGGCCCTAAGGCAGCCCTGCACAAGGTTTCAAGGATGGGCAGAGAACCAGCAAAGGAGACTGTGCCCCCAGGTGCCGAGGGGATGAGAGCGACAGACCATCGCAAACCGGCAAGTTTCTGTTTAATTCTTACCCGCTTTTCTTTTTTTCACATATTCTCTCCTTCTTAGGCAGCCTTTGTATGTGGCTTGGATTCTCGCAACTTAAAATAAAACAAAAATTTTGGTAAATGGCTTTCATTTGTGCATCTTTGTGGTTGTGACCTCCAGAGGGGGGGACGTCAGAAGTGGCCCCAAAAGCCTGCAGTGTAGGGATGACACAGGAAGCCAATTGGGCATGGCAGAAATGAGATTGGGTGGGCTACATTAAGCCTGGCCCCCAGAAGCTGTCCAGTAACTGGAGTTTCCTTTCTGCCTTTCTCTTTCCTCATCCAGGATAAGGAACAGACCCAGTGGTGAGTGCACCAGGTTCCATGCCAGGCACTGTATTTCATCCTCCCCCCCCCCCCCGACAAGGCGGGCATCATCAGCACATCTTACAAATGGGCATGTGGGCTGTGATGGTGAAGACACTTGCTGAGCTGGTCCTTAGTAGCTGCAGCTACTAAGGAGGAGTATGACCAGGTCCGAGTGACCACAAAACACACACTCGCCCTGCAGCCTCTCCATCCTCCAACCATCCCCTCCACACAGTGACTGAGGTCCCACCAAAGGCCAAGCTCATGGAGGTCCCTGCAGACCAGCAGCGTCACATCCCCTGGGAGCTGGCTAGAGATGCTGACTCAGCCCAGCCAAGCCAGTACCTGCCCCTCAACCAGATCCCCAGTACTTGGTACCCAGTGCTGTAGAGGTCAAAAAATGAGACCATCACTCTCAGTGGTTACGAGCCCAGGCCTTGAAGCTAAACAGATTCATGTTCAAATGCCAGCTCTGCTGCCTACTAGCTGTGTGGCTTTCCGGTTACCAACCTCTGTGCCTCAGTTTCCCTGAATATAAAGTGGAGATGATAATACCTACTCCATAGGTTTGTTCTGAGAATAAAATGAGATTGTGGCATAAAGAGTGCACCTGGCACACGAGCACTCAAATTTCTCAAGTATAGTCTTTCTTGACCAGTTCAGATTTTAAGGGGGAAGGTCCCCTCCCCCAGTAGTTTTGATTTTTTATTTATTGCATTTTCCCCCCATCTAACCTTTCTCATTCACCATTCCCAGAAAACACCCTGGCTACAGGCTTTGAACTACATCGTCCAATATCAGATACTTATACAAATGAAGTTTCTAAAACCTTAATTTAAAGGGGACAGACTCCCCCTTAAAAGTGTTAGATCCTAATATGGCACAACAAGGTCTGATCCAAGCTAGAACTGAGATGGCACTGTAACTGATGTTTCTGCCTGCATCTGTGATTGCCCCGCAAACACTTGTTAAGGAATAAATTCATATGCATCTTATCATAATCACACATCTTGTTCCTTGTTTTCAGAGTAAATGCTTCTAACATGATATCACGTACCCATTTTTAAGATTTATCCCCAAGCTAAACTTATTCATTTCACATTCTGTTGAAATCAGGGCAGAAAAATCATACCTAATTGATGTTTACTAAATTCAAAGGCATCTTCGGTAGCAAACAGAGTTCTGGGGAAACGAATGAATATTTTTGTTCTAGAAGTGAAAAGAAATGTTTTCATTATTAATTGGTCAGTTCCTATCTATGGTGGTTCGAATAGTGGCCCCCCAAAATTATGTCCACTTAGACCCTGAGTACCTAATCTTCTTTGGAAATAGGGTCGTTGTGGATGTAATTAAGGTAAAGATGGAGATGAGATCAGACTGAATTAGGGTTGGCCCTAAATCCAATGACAGTGTCCTTATAAGAGACAGAAAAGGATACACAGCAGAATGCAGAGGAAGGACATGGGAAGATAGAGGCAGAGATTGGAGCGATGCGGCCACAAGCCAAGGAAATCCAGGAGCCACCAGAAGCTGGAAGAGGCAGGGAAGAATCCTTCCTTAGAGCTTTCAGAGGGAGTGTGGTCCTGCCAACACCTTGATTTTGGATTTCTGGCCTCCAGACCTATGAGAGAATAAATTTCTGTTGTTCTAAGCCAGCCAGTTTGTAGTTTTCTATGCAGCCCTAGGAAATGAATATACCATCCTAACCCAAAGTTGCTTCAAATTACGCTCCTGGGCTTTAAGGAGTGATAACAAAGAATACGGATCTAAGTTTAAAAGAAGATCCCATTAACCAGCATAGAGAAATTACAAATATGATTTCAGATTACCTGCCCCACCCACACACCCACCTTCTGTGGGAAACTTCCCAGGGCAGCCACTGGGGCAGCAGTGTGTTGTGTCATTTGATCCCACTCCCCCATCCCAGTTTATGGAACGGGGACAGACAGATGCCTCTGCTGCTGACCTCCAGGGCCTGCTTCCCTCCGCATGTGCTGAGCCTGATTCCCCTCCAGGATGCAGATTGAATAAGCAACTGATTCTTGGGACAGGGCCCAGAATAGGAGCCTAAAGATAGAGAGCAGCCAGGGTGGCCACAGATGGCCATGTACAAGTGTGAATTAGGAGTTATTGATAGATTCAAAGGCAGAGATCCCTGAAGCAGGGAAGCTGTGAGGTCTGGGAATGGATCCTCTTCGTGCCTGGGCACTGTTCCTTGCAACCAAATTAACCCTGACCAAATAATTAGAACAGACTCAGATCAGCCTGATTCATCCCACTGAGTTGTGCCTGAAAGCTTTCAACTGGTACAGAAATTCTCTGCCCATGGATAACTACAACTCTATAGTAATGATAGCTGGAGTTCTAGAACATCACTTTCTGGGATGATTTCTCCTCTGGGAGGTCACGCATACATTTGAACAATGAAAGAATCTAGGTAGAAGAGGCTCATCTGCTGAGTCAGGTTTAGAGCACAGGACTCTCCTCTGATAGGCAGCACTATATCCCTTCTAACCATTTAGAGCTGCATTTAAATTGGGTGGAAGGAAGCAACTGCTTGTAAATCTATATAAATCCCTAGAAAGTGAGTATCTGGGCTCTAGACGGATGTGGATCAATGTAGGAAACACTTTGACTGTGAGGGGAGAGACCATTTGGCAGTTTCCTGGTCACTTACTTTCCTAACTTGTAGTCCTCGGGTTTGTAGCCGATGTACTTGATCAGCCGTTCTACACCCTCTGCTGGAGGCCCGTGCCAGTGCGGCCATGTGTCTGGGCACAAGGACTTGTACCTACCAGGAGAGGAGAGGGACATCTAGAAGCCATCGTTGTACCTTACTCCACACCTGCCCCAGCGGTCTGCTTAGCTTCACTGTGGCATGTCAGCCTGTCAGTGTACACTGTAGTCTCATCAATGGAACTTCCTTGAATTCAAAGATATATGCTTGGCCGGAAAGCAAAAAGAGGGAAACTTTCAGTAGAGTGGGCGGTTTGGCCTGTCTTCATAGAACAGTGACTTCATCAGACACTCAACCCAAGTAACTCAATTTCACTCCAAGGTATATACCCAAGAGAAATGAAAACACGTGTCCACATGAAAACTTCTACATGAATGTCCATAGCAGAATTATTCATTATAGCCAATGGTGGAAATAACCCAAACGTCCGTCATTGGACAACTGAACAAACAAATGCGGTCACCAGAAGAACAGGTACCATGCTTGGGAAGTGGCGAGGGATTTTTTTCAAGGCTAATTTTGGCTCCAGTCTTAAGAACCTGATTCCAGTCTGCAACTCCCAATAATCAGTCACTATAAAGGTAACTGGGAAGTCTATAATCTAAAGAAATAAGTGAATGTAGAATTCAGAGGAAGGGCCTGGACCAAGGCCAGAAGCCGTGCTGCAGTGGAACTGCAACCAGGCTGCCTGGGTTCGAGCCCAGCTCAGGAGCTGGACAAGTCACTTCATTTCCTCACCCGTGCAATGTGAACAGTCACAGGACCTTCCCCACAGGGTTGTCATGAGGTTTCAATGAGGTAATCCAGGCAAATTATTCAGCATAGTCCAAGACCCAATAAATGTTAGCTACGGTGTTCCTATTAGTCTCTCTCCCCCACCCCCCACTTAATATCATAATGTTGTTTGCATTATTTCCAAATCAAATTTTAAACTGTTAAGAATATTTTTATTTCCCTGGAACTATACTTTATGAGCAAGTCCTTTAAGGGCATTGGGTTTCACACATTCTTCCTTGATTATCTTCCTCTGCCTGGCCACATACGCAAAGGCACAAGATGCACACAAAGACAGCCTCCAGAACTTCAAGGAAAGCTGGTGGATGCAGGGTCTCCAATCCCAGGGAACGCAGCACAGCCTCAGGCCCTGCTTCCACCCATCTGGACCTCACCCAATACTAGCACACCTCATGGAAGGTGCCTTAAATGCTTTCAGGATGAAGGGACTAGGAACCTCCAATCCCAGGGAACGCAGCACAGCCTCAGGCCCTGCTTCCACCCATCTGGACCTCACCCGATACTAGCACACCTCATGGAAGGTGCCTTAAATGCTTTCAGGATGAAGGGACTAGGAAATTCTGACCTTTTCAACTATGAGGTGTGGTTGTTCCCCGATCAAGAGAGGGCATGGTGCACAGTCCCATGGGTCTCCCCTGCCACTCTCTCTGTCCTGCCAGCATGCCAAGCTCTTAGCTCATCCTTGAGCCTGCCCAGCTCCCACCTCCAGGCTTTCCTCCCTGGATTGCTGGTCCCCAAATGCTGTAGACTGAATGTGTCCTCACAAAGTTCAAATGTTGAAACCTAACCCCCAATGCAATAGTATTAGGAGATGGGGCCTTTGGGAGGTGATTAGGTCATAAGGGCAGAGCCCTCATTAATGGGATTATTTCTCTTATAGAAGAGGCCCCAGAGAACTCCCTCCCCACTTACACCATGTGCAGACACAGTGAGAAGGTGCCATCTATGAACAAGGAAGCAAGGCCCTCACCAGAGACCAAATCTGCCAGCGCCTTGATCTTGGACTTCCCAGCCTCCAGAACTGTGAGCAATAAATATCTGTGGATTATAAGCCACCCAGTTTATGGTATTTTGTTATAGCAGCCTGAATGGACTAAGACACCAGATATCCTCATGGCTCGTTCCTGCACTCAGAGAGGCCCTCCCTGAACCCCTTAACCAATGAGGGATCCCCGCCACTCTTTCACCTTACCCAGATTCACCTTTCTTCAACAAATGTATTCCCACCTGGCCCTATGTATCTCTTTGCTACTGCCAGTCCCCCACTAGAAGGTAAAGCCCATGAGGGCAGGGGTGGTTCTCTGCTGCTACCCCAGCCCCTAGGGCAGTGCTGGCTCAGAGGAGGACTAGTATTTATGGAAAGAATGAGTGAAGCTTGAACAGCAACAGAAATAGAAAAATGGTGGATGAAGTTCAAAAAATGCAGGAAGATGAAAACGTCAAGCGTGTGTGTTTGGGGGCGAGGTGGGCGGTGGCTGTTGCTTCTGCTATGTTCATCAGAAGTCAGATTCAGGAAAATGGATGGGATGAGGGTGAATGAAGGACAAGCAGCTGATGGGCAAAAATGGCGGCAAAAGAAAGACAAAGGAAAAAAAAGAAAAAAGACACATAATCTGGCAGTTCCTGAAATGGTTATACTCAAAAGGACTTTAATGAGGTTGAACCTTATGAAATTGCCAATTATTCAACCATTTTGACCTACAGAAGTGACTGTTTTATTATTATTCTTATCTTGACAATGTGTTGCTATTTTAGAAGCACAAATTCCCATGCAGCCCATCACCAGAGTAGTGTTGGTGTACAAGCAATTTGGGGGATGGGGTGGTGGTGGGGTTTATCATTAATCGCCATATTACAGGTAAGGAAATAGGGCACAGCTATGACAGACAGAATGAGGATTCTGACCCAAGTCTGTGTGGTTTCAAAGCCCGTGTCCCCACTACTACACCATTGCTTTTGACAGCCCATGAGGCTAAGACACTAAACAAGCTCCTGGGGTCACAAATAGAGTCTCCCCAGCTGAATCAGACCCAAGCAGGCACTGCCCGCGTCTACTCCCTGGTGGCAGGTCTATGCAGTCAGCCTTGCCCTTCCTTGACTGCAGGAAGTAAGTTAGGGCTTCGTGAAATGAACAGAAGATAGCAAACTGCACTGGGTTTTTATATTCTCCAAAATGTTAGTGTTTTTTGCCATCAAAACTACAGCGGCTAACTGAGTTCTCTAAGGGATGGCATTTTATTTATCACCATATCTCAGAGACCGGCACATGGTGGGTGCTCAACTTTAATGGCTTCAGATCCACAAAGCAAAACTTACCTTTGCAAGAAATGCTCATATTTCCGCCGGTACGCAAAGCCGGCCCGTCTCACCCGCAGGTGCTCCATCAGCCCCAGGTACTTGATCTGATGCCTTATGAGGAATTCATCAAACTTGCCTTTGGAGAAACAGAAGAGAGAATGACAACAAAGGACCCCGTGGCTCCATTTCAACCAAGACAGACCAGAGGCTGCAGGCTGATGATCTGTGGCCTGGCCACAGACACATTTTGTTAGGCCTTAATTGTGTTTTCTTTCTTTTTTTTTTTTTTTGTGTGTGTGTCCTTTTTGAGACCGGCCGCACTGCGCTCAGCCAGTGAGCGCTGTGAGCGCACCGGTCATCCCTACATAGGATCCGAAACCGCGGCGGGAGCGCTGCTGCCCTCCCAGCGCCGCCCTCTCCCGAGTGCGCCACGGGCTTGGCCCCTTAATTGTGTTTTCTAAATGGGAGAATTTTATAGGAAATTCTAGATTTCTGGCTTCTCCTGAAAAATCATGAGATCTAGCCATCCTGGGCCCAGACTCCCATGTGGCAGGAACTGTCTGGAAGGGAGCAGCGCTGCCACCCCTTTAAACAGGATGTGCCTTCTCCAGTGTGCCGCAGTCTCCTCTACTCCCTATTGCAACACAACCAGGTTGCTTCACTCATTTGCTCTTCCTGCCTGGCCTCTGTAAGCCTCTGACCATGCAACTTCATTATAGACCATGGCAAGAGCTTAGAAAATCCCCAGTCATGGACTGTTTTGGAAGACTGATCACTGGCTGGAGAGAAGCCACATTGCTTCCCCTCCCCTCTTGCCTGGCTCAGGTGTGTTGCTCCTGAAACTGGCCAAGCTCTAAGCAATGCTCACTCTGGACCACCAAAGGAACTCCTCTCCCAATTTATTTACCTGCTATTGTTTAAAAAGGAAAATGATTCACGGACAGAGGACAATGAGCGAGGCTTTTAGGATCTAAACCCACTGCCATCTTGGTTTGCCACCCAGCCTCTTTTCCCTGAACTCAGCATCCAAAACGATTCACAACTCACTGGGTTCTTTCCTCTCATTGGGCTTGATGCAACGGATGTATGAGGGTTCCTTAGAGATGAGAATTTCCAGAAGGCTGCTCAGACTGTTCTTAAACTGAGTTCCCACCTGCAGAGAGAGAGGATCAGCTGAGCAGACATTGCTGCTTCCAATTAATTACAGAGAAGACTGGTTAGGACACAAGGCTCCAGCCCTTTTGACCCAAACTCCTGAAAGATTGTCCTACTTGCTACCATTTTGCCCATGAAGAGGAGGCTTTAGATGTCCTCACCTGAGAGGCCAAAGCTTGGTCTGGTCAGGTGGAAGCTGAGCAAGCATCTGACCAGGATGCCTTACTTGCTAGCAAATTCATGGTGAGAGCCTTGTAGGGACCAGCGCCAGAGCTGAGCCTGTCACCCTCCGCCACCTTCCCTTCTTCCCTGTCGCCCTGCTTCCTTCATGACACTTGTGCTGTGAGTTCTTTATTCACTTGGTGGCACTTTCATCTACCCTCTCCCACTAGATTGTAAGCCCCTTGAGAACAGGGGCTTTGGCTGGCTTGTTATTGCTAACCCCGAGTCCAGCGCAGTGCCTGACACACAGTAGATGCTCAATGAATGTCTGCAAATGAATGAACTGCTCCTAAACTTGGAAAGTATGTACTTGGTAGAATCTGTTACAGAGGGATCCTTCCAGAAAAGAGGGACAGTGACTTAAAAAGTGAAACTGGGGGCCGGCCCATGGCTCACTCGGGAGAGTGCGGTGATGATAACACCAAGGCCATGGGTTCGGATCCCATATAGGGATGGCCGTTTCGCTCACTGGCTGAGCGCGGTGCTGACAACACCAAGCCAAGGGTTAAGATCCCCTTACTGGTCATCTTTTAAAAAAAAGTGTAACTGGAGGTTCCTGCACTCTCTGGATGATTTTTGTTCCTTTTCCAATTCTGCACAAGCATTTTCCCCACTCACTGTGGGCGGCCTCCTCCGGTTTTCTAACTCGGCCACCAGGAAGCATTCCCTCAGGATGCTGTTCTTGGACCTACACAGCACCTGTAAGTGAAGAGAAATGAGCACCACATTTGCTGTCTCAGAAATCACTGCCAGGCTTCAGGAAGGCTCACACAAGTGAGTAACAGAGCCATCTGTTTCTTGAGCACTTGAAGACATTCCTAGCATTAAAAAGAGGGGAAAAACACAATCATGCATGGAAGAAAATGTCCAAACACTATATCCATTCCCTCGTCTAGTTGATGGGGCCATCTAGTTTTTCTCTGATGTGATGAAGCCAAAACATTCCGTCCAGCACATCTGCTACAGAAATCAACTCTTTGAGAATGATCGCCAAGATAATAGTATTAAGTGGAACAAGTAAGATGCAGAACCGCATGCACATGTGTGTGCTATGACTGTGCAAAGAGAAAGAAAAGGGGGCAATATGTTTACACCCACCCACTGGAAGGACGCACAATAAACTGGTAAGAGCCTGGCTCTCAGGAGAGAGACTTGGTGACATGGGGCCAAGGACACTAGCTTTTGTACTGTTTGGTTTTTTCCCCCATGCACATATTTTTGAAAATAGCCTATATTACCCAAAGTCCTTAATTTAAAAAAAAAACCCTTTATACAAAACAAATTTCCTTTATATGCATACAGTGGAATATTATTCAGCCTTAAAATGGAAGTTCTGATGCAAGCTACAACGTGGATAAACCATGAGGACACTATGCTAAGTGAAATAAGCCAGTCACAAAAAGACAAATACTCTATGATTCTATTTATATGCGGTACCTACAGTAGTCAAAGTCATAGAGACAGAAAGTGGGATGGTGGGTGCTGGGGCTGGGGGAGGGGAATGTGGAGTGGGTGTTTAATGGCTATTGAGTTTTGGTTTTGCAAGATGAAAAGTTCTGGAGATTCGTTCACAACAATGTGAATGTACCTAACACCACTGAACTATTTACTCAAAAATGATTAAAATGGCAAATTTTATGTTATGTATATTTTGCCACAATTTAAACATTTTTAAAAATTGGAAAAAATTTTTTCTGTTTAACCCATCCCAGTTCTAAATTGACAATGGCATAGAAGAGCAATATGCAGGTAGGAGAGAAAACAATTAGAAGTGATCCATGTAAATGTCAAAAGGAGTTCAGGGCACCTCAACCCAAGCTGGTGAAGTGAGAGATGCATAGACGCGTGATCCATGTAAATGTCAAAAGGAGTTCAGGGCACCTCAACCCAAGCTGGTGAAGTGAGAGATTCGTAGATGCACGCTCGGTAGATTGGCTTGTGAAGGAAATAGCCACGGCCCACGGAGGAGAAAACCACCTGAGGAACACGGTCTCCCCTTGGTTAGTCAGGCACTACCACTCCTGTGTCATTCACAGCAATTCCATCAGCAGGGCATCGTCAGACCCATCCCACCAATGGAGACATCTGCCACAAGATCCCCAGCCAGGAAGGAGTGGGCCTGAGACAGACCCAGAGAGCAACCGTCTGGTGCAGATAGGTAATTAGGAATCACTCATCTACCCTGAATCTAAAGAACTTGGGACGAGTCCTAACAGTGCTAGAGAGAGCTCAGGAAGGGCAGAAAATACTCCTGAGATGAACTGTTTGCCTTTCACTTGGAAAATGTCACCTTTAGGGTTAAGGTTTTTATAAACTAAGCTAATTAAATAAACTCCAATACTGTACAAAATAGTTAAATATTTCAATACAAAATAAAGGCTTTACAGTTTTCTCTGATTGGTGAGATATATGGAAAGAGACTGGGAATTTTATCAGCACACTATTCCCACCTAATCCAGCTCCAGCCCCACCTCACGATGTGACCTCACATGAGCTATGACTTCCCTAGGTCTCAGTTTCTTAATTCTCAGGTCATGTCACCCCAGATATTCCCACTTCACTGGAATAAGACCTCTATACCCTTCCCTGTGGACCTCATCCTGTAGAGCTCTCGGCCCCTCTCCTAACATGACCCCCTCTCTAAATACATGTTGAGCTTATCCAGGCCACAGGACCTTTGCACATGCTGGTCCCTCTACCTGGAATAATGCCTGATCTTACTCATTCTCATTGGTGAGATATATGGAAAGAGACTGGGAAAATCATTCTCATTCAGGTTTCAGCTCAGAATCACCCCCACAGGGATGTTTTCTCTGATCACCTAAACTTATTTATTTATTTTGGCAGCTAGCTGGTACAGGGATCTGAACCCTTGACCTTGGTGTTTATAAACTAAATTTAAAATGTCCCCTTCAATAACTATTCCTCTTCATAGTAGTGATCACTGATGGATAATTTATTTGTATATATATTTTTTCTGCCCCCTCCCACCCCCAACTGTCAGCCCTGCAAGAACAAGGACTGTGTCATGTTCACTGCTAAAACTCAGAGCCGGCACCCAGGAGGGGCACTGCACACATACACGAACCAGTTTGTTGAGGGAGGCATTCGCACAGATAATCTTCAATGTCTGTTCCAGCCGTGGTATGCTGGACTTCTAACACAATGCACGGAAGAGGAAAATCCAGAAGGCAAAATCTACCCCCAAATCAGTGTCATGGATGATATTTCAAAACCATGAGAAGTAAATGGAGTTCAATCTCAGACTTACTTCCTTCAGATGTCTGTAAAGGAGATCATTGTTTTTTTCCAAGAATCCTGTAAAACATTGAGTAAAACATTTTTGAATCAATGGTAACTAAATGATATTATAAAGTCAAAACCAGCTAAGACAGACATGCATCAAAAATATCAATTGTACAACCTTTTTACATGACAAATTGGAGTTAACAAAACTAACTTTTTTATGGTGGTAAAATATACATAACATAAAATTTACCATTTAACCATTTGTAAGTGTACAGTCAGTGGTAGTAAACACACTCACATTGTGCTCCTGTCACCACCATCCATCTCCAGAATTTTTTCATCATCCCCAACTGAAACTCTGTACCCATTGAATAAAAACTCCCTGTCACTGCCTCCTTCGGCCCCTGATAACCACTATTCTACTTTCTGCCTCTATGAATTCACCCAGGAACCTCATAGAAGTGGAATCATATGGTACTGTCCTTTTATGTCTGGCTTATTTCATGTAGCATAATGTTCTCAAGGTTCATCCGTGTTGTAGCATGTGTCAGAATTTCATTCCTTTTCCAGGCTGAACAATGCTTCATTGTTTGTATGTACTACATTTTGTTTATCCATTCATCTGCTGAGGGACCCTTGGGTTGTTTCCACCTTTTCGCTGTTGTGAATAGTGCTGATGTGAACATGGGTGTACAAATATCTGTATGAGTCCCTGCTTTCAATTCTTTTGGGTATATACCCAGAAATAGTCCAAACTAACTTTTTATTTTATTTTTGGGCGGCTGGCTGGTGCAGGGACCGGAACTCTTGACCTTGCTGTTATCAGTACTACGCTTTACTGAGTAAGCAAAACTAACTTTTGGTAGAACCTTTAATCCAGTAATACCACTTGTGGGAATTTGTTATATGGATATGATGTGTAAAAATGGGTCAAGGGAAATATACAAAGATGTCAAATGCAGTAGTGCATATAAGAGAAAAAGTTGGAGACAACCAGTGTCCATCAGATAGATGTCAGGACACAGCCATCTGAGGGCAGTGCCTGCAGCCTTTCAAAAGAAATGCTGCAGAATCTGTGCTGCTCAGAGAGAAGATGACGGTCAATGGCAAAAGGCACAGGACTGAAACCCAGCTCTGACACTGAATGGCTTTGTGACCATAGGCACGTTACTTTACCTCTCTGATCTCAGTTTCCTTATAGATTTAAAGGAGAATAATACCATTTCCCACCTCAGGTCTCTGTGAGGTTTAAAATGACAGCAGAAAGCCCTCGGCCCATCGTAAGTGCTCAATGAACATCAGTTAGAATCCAAATGATCTCCCCCACATGCATTAAGTGAAAAATGCAAAATAATACCACGAAATAACAGTTTGTGTTATTGAAAAGAACACGTGTGTGTCTCAATATTTGTAGGTATATACCTAAGACATTTCTATTTTTCTTGAGGTAATTACAAGAAAGTGTTGACTTTTTGTGGTTACTTCTGGGAGACACTAGCAGTAAAAGTTTTATTTGAAAAGAAAAACTCTTTTTAAATAAGCCTATTAGTTTTCCTTCAGTACTTTTCTGTGCTGTCAGCAATTTCTAGCTTTATTTTTTACACAAAAATCAGGAGATTATCTGCACAGAGAAATTCGTCCTGTTCTAAAATTTTTTCTCTTTATACCACTTTGCATTTAAAGAAAAAAACTAATACATGTTATATCATTTTTTAAAAATTTCTAGAGAGAGGAACTTATTTAGAAGTAAAAATAATTTTGAACCAAAAGTACAAGCGACAAAAGGAAATAAATTGGACTTCAAAACTAAAAATTTTGTGCTTTGAAGGATACCATCAAGAAAGTGAAATAACAGCCCATAGAACTGAAGAAAAGATTTGCAAGTCATATATCTGATAAAGGTCTATTATCTACAATATATAAAGAACACAACTCAATAATAAAAAAAAAAAAGTGCCAGGTGCTGCACTCAACAAAAAACAAAAACAAAAAAGCAAAATGAAACCACCAATAACTGAAATTTTAAAATAGGCAAAGAATCTGAACAGATGTTTTTGTAAGGAAGATGCACAAATGGCCAATAAGCACATGTAAAGATGGCCAATATCATTAGTCATCAGGAAAATGCAAATCAAAACCAGGATGAGATACCACTTCACACCCACAAGGATGGCTACAATTAAAAGACAATAACAGGTGTTGGTGAGGCTGTGGAGAAACTGGAACCCTCATACACTGCTGGGGGAAATGTAAAACGGTACAGCCACTTTGCAAAACAATTTGGCAGTTCCTTAAAAGGTTAAACATAGAATTATCATATGGCCCAGGAATTCCAGTCCTAAGTATATGAGTATACCCAAGAGAAATGAAAACATATGTCCACACAAAAACTTATACAGGCATGTTCATAACAGGATTATTCATAATAGCTAAAAAGGTGTAAACAATCCAAATGCCCATCAAGGACTGATTGATGAATTAATCAACAAAATGTGGTATGTCCATGCAATGGAATATTATTGGGCAATAAAAAAGGAACAATGTCATGGATGAACCTTGAAAATATTATGCTAAGTGGATGAAGCCAGACACAAAAGGCCATTTACTGCATGTCTCTATTGATAGAAAATGTCTAGAACAGGCAAATCTATGGAAACAGAAAGTAGCTCGGTTTGTTGCTTAGGGCTCTGAGGGGTGGGACTGAGGGCAGTGAGGGCTAATGGGTACAGAGTTTCTTTTTGGAGTGACAAAATGTTCTAAAATTGTGGTGATATTTGCACAACTCTGTGAATATACAAAAAGCCACTGTACACTTTAAATGGTGAAATTCAAGTTCACCCACATTCACATGGCACGTGAATGATATCAGAATAAAGTGGTTATATATAAAAATACCCAATAAATTAGAAAGATTTTTTCCAAATGACATGCTTGAAGATGAGGCTAGGGAACGTTTGAGATGGCTGTGCAGTGTTTTTTCAGTGGACTCGCTGCTTTTTTTTAGGACACTGGGCTCGGTGCACACACAGGGCACCTGCATGGCTGTGACCCGCCCTGCACGGTCACTCACCCTTGGTGCAGTATGTGACCTCTCCTGCATAGTGGAGGAGTCGGAACTCCATCCAGCCAATCCTCTTTCGGCCCTTGGGACCAGCCAGCTTACGGCTATAAGAGAGAAATAGACATGAATTGACTGCAGGAAAATGGCACTAATATATAAAGCAAAGAATGAGAGAAAGTCTTGGATAAGTTCGTTAGGAACATGAAAATCCACAAAAGGCCAGCACAAAGTTAACCACATACAGAGGCTCCCAGGAAGCTTTCTGCACCTATTTCATCTTGCTACAGACCAAGGTCTCTCTAAGATTAGATCCTTCCTTCTCATAAATTCTGAGTAATAAAAATACACATATGAGCACAGAAACACATGTATCTGTACAATAAAATCACTTCTATTTTTCTAGGTGATAACTAAGAAATAATTTTTTTTCCTTTTTGTCTTTCTTCGTGACCAGTAATGGGATCGCAACCCTCGGTGTCGCGCCCGTACCGCGACCGGCAACGGGATCGCAACCCTCAGTATTGCGCCCGCACCGCGCTCAACCAGTGAGCGGACCGGTCTCTATATGGGATCCAAACCCTCAGCGGGAGCGCCGCTGCACTCCCAAGCTCCGCACTCTACCGAGTGCGCCACCAGGCCGGCCCCTAAGAAATAATTTTACTACCCCACATTTTTATGATGTTGAGAGACTAAAATATTCATGAAACATCATGTTTCAGATTCTGTGAGTCACGCTTTTTAATATAACTCTTTCTTGAAATATAACGTGTGTTTACAGCACACATATCCGAAGTGTACAGCTCCATGAATTTTTGTAAATTGAACACACCCACGTAACCAGCACCCAGTCATTCCCTGAGAACTGTAACCAGTCATCCCAGTCAACTCCCTGAGAACCTCCTTCTTGAGTTCTTTCCAGTCAAAACTTGACATCTAAGGGCATAAGTTAGTTTTACCTGGTTTTATACTGTATACAAATGGAATCATATAGTATGTACTCTTTTGTGTCTGGCTTATCTTGTTCATGTTTGTGTGATTTATCCACAGCATTGCATGTAGTTATAGATTATTCTTTCACATGGCAGTATTATCATTCCATTTGTGAATGTTCTAAAATTTATTTTTCACTCTTGATTCATAAAATCACATGTCCAGTAAGTGGCTAAGCTGGGATTTAAAACCACGTCTTTCTGAATCCAGAGCATATGCTCTTAAATTCTCTCTTCCTTGTGTCAAAGACTTACAAGTTAAATTTGTAGCTGATTTTCTGGGATGCTGTAATGCTCTATATCTTGATCTGCATGGTGGTTATGTGGATACACAACAAATATAAAAACTTATCAGTTGTACATTTCGGATCTACACATATCACCGTGTGTATTTTACACCTGAATTTTTAAAAAGAGACTATTTAATGCATATGGACATTTCCAAAACGTAATGATCATTGAATAAAGCAAGATACAAAATCTTTTTTTAAAGATGACCGGTAAGGGCCGGCCCGGTGGCGCACTGCTACAGTGCGCCGCTTGGGAGCGCGGTGGCGCTCCCGCCGAGGGTTCGGATCCCACATACAGACCGGTTCCCGCTCACTGGCTGAGCGAGGTGCGGGCGTGACGCCAAGGGTTGTGATCCCGTTGCCGGTCCCGGTCCGGTACAGGCGCGACACTGAGGGTTGCGATCCGTTGCCGGACATGAAAAAAGACAAAAAAAGGAATTAAAAAAAAAAAAAAAAAGATGACCGGTAAGAGGATCTTCACCCTTGACTTGGTGGTATCAGCACCACACTCTCCCAAGTGAGCCATGGGCCGGCACCTAAGATACAAAATCTTAAAAAAAATTCTATTGGGAATTCATTTGAGTTTGATATCTACTAACAAAGGTATGAAAATACATGAGTTGGTGTATCATGATGATAGTTCTGTATGTGAGGAAGTAGCTGTACATTTGAGGAGCACTATCCACATACGAAAGAAAATAAATATACAATTATCTGCCCCCATGCAACAGCTTGTCAGATGAAGAACGTACGTTTGGAAGTGTGCGTGCTTGCCGACTTTCTCTTCCAGTTTCTCCAGGAAACTCAAGTCTGTCGCAGGACCAGGACGAATACATTCTTCATCCTTCAAAAAAAAAAGAGAAGCCTCTATCCACAGCACCACACTCCATCAATTCAAGTTTAAATGCTTTTGCCAGCTGTGGCAGAAAGTACTGGACTAAAATACTGTCATCTCACACAAATCCAGGTGAACATTCTGGGGCATGGGGGGCTTATTTATTACATGTGCTCAGCTTTGCAGATTTGATAAGGGGACTGTGGGGCCCGAGGGACTGGAAATTCCATGAAAAGTCAACTCTCCCATCCATCTGACGTGCGTGCGTGCCTGGCAGGTATGGGTGTCCAAACCGCGCATGCCTGGCAGGTATGGGTGTCCAAACCCATGACTTTGGGGTTATATGGCTGCACTCCGACCAGCTGAGCTAACCGGTCTGCCCCACTGACCTGTATTTTCAAAGTCTTCCCCAGCATACTCGGTAGCTGCTGCTACCAGCTCACTTAGACACTCAACCTCATGCTCCCTTACGCGTGCATCTCTGACTGAGACCATGACACGTGCAGACCCTTGTAATAGGAACAGAGCCTTTGTGGAAAGAAGGCTATAAAACCAGTTGAGTCTAGCCTTTCATATTTTTCAAGCTACATCTTTCTATTTTTGGTCCTCAAGAATACCATTTAACTGACCATCTTAAAAAAATTTCAGAAGAAACAACCCCATAGCTTTTATTCAAATGACAACAACAGCAAGAAACCCTGGGTTGAGGTTGAGACAATTTTTATGAAGTAGCATTATGAAATGTTTTCTGATTTTATATGTTAACCAAATAGAAGCAAGTGTTTATTACTAAAATATTGTACAATACTAGTCTAGCAATCCACGTGGACATTAAAAGTGGAACGCACTTTCTGGAACGCACTTCTGCAAACATCTGCACGGCTTGCTCCTCACCTCCGTCAGGTCTTTGCTCCAATGTTACCTTCTCAGTGAGGCCTCCCTGACCATCTTCCCTAAAATTAAACCCCACCCTTGCCTCCCACAGCGTGCCCAATCTTCTCTTTCTGTTTTTTCTCCATGGCACAATCTATATATTTTGCCTACTAGGTGGCTTGTCTGTCTCTCCATGCTAGAACTGAAAGCTGCCTGAGGGTGGGGGTTTGGTCTGTTTTGTTCACACTGTGTCCCAAAGCACAAAGCAAGTGCTCAACTGAGAGTCTGAGTGCTTATCACGCATTGGGTATAGTTCTAGGTGCTCTGGGTGTATTATCTCACTTAATTTGTCCTTTTACCTCCTCTCTGAGGTAAGTGCTGTTATCTCTGTAGCCATTTAAAGATGATGAAATCGGAGTTCAGAGAGGTTAAGACACCTGCCTAATGTTAGCTACTGCTCTGGGTGTATTATCTCACTTAATTTGTCCTTTTACCTCCTCTCTGAGGTAAGTGCTGTTATCTCTGTAACCATTTAAAGATGATGAAATCGGAGTTCAGAGAGGTTAAGACACCTGCCTAATGTTAGCTACTAAGCAATGGGGCTGAGATTTGAATCCAGGCAGTGCCCATGTTCCCAGCAACTAATCACCACCCATTAATGTCCCTGCTGTGTTTTAGGGTGTTGGGTTCACAGAGCAGTTGGTGGCAGTGTGGGGACAGGAGGGTAAAGCAGACCAATTATTTTCATCAAAAGGGAAGCAAGCAGTGCTGCTGATGATCCCAAATAAAAAGCAAGGCAAGGAAATAATTTCTCATTTGCCTTTAGAATTTATTTTAAAAATTGGTGCTTGAATTTGACCAACTGTGGATTTGAGGTCACTGGTATTCTCGTAAGTCACAATAGTTGAAACAAGCCCATTCTGAGGACCCTCAATTCAGGATCGGCCAAGGTTCTTTGTAAAGCCTTCCTCTGTGTTTCCTGGCTTCCTGCTCAGTGCTAAACATGATAGCAGCCCCTCTTCAAGTGCCACCAAACACCTGCCCAAACTGGGTCCCCAAATTCTATGTCTATGAAAGATATACCTGCATGCTTTCATTTTAAAGGTCTTTCTGTGCTGTGTCCCAGTGGGCTATTATTTAGGCCTGAGAATCTAAAGGACAAGGAAAAGCTCAGCCTAAAGCTCCAAGCAAGAGTTCAGTGAACAAGGTCAGCTTGCACCTTCAATATTCCAGTACATTCCACTCTCAACCCTTTTGAAGCCTGGGAAAAAGTCCTTCCACTTGTTGTAAACGCTGGATGAATGGACTGTAAGTCAACATTAATTTTCTTACCAGAATGGATATGATTCCTTTGTGTCTCTCTTCTACCAAATCACAGATGATCTTGTTGTTGAAATATTGAATTGGTTCCCACTAAAATGACGAAGAGGAAAGAACTCTCCAAGAAGTATTTAGATGAGCATAAAATAGACTGGTTTTAAGTTGATTTTCCAAATTTTTTTTTCAAAATCTGATTTTTTTTATAACCAACCCTAAATAATACATTCTGAATATCAAAATAATTTCCCAGGAAATAAGTGGAAAAAGACTAAAAAATATTCCTTAGTATTAATCAGGAAAATCTCCAATGAAATGATATTTCTCAAGTAAATGGCTTTAGCTAGATTAAGAACTCAAATGGTCCATAGGGGCAGACAGGAAAAGGAAGAAAGAAAAAAGAAAGAAGAAAATCAAGTGGGGAGAAAACATCAAAATGTTTACCTCTATACCTTCCATTTCATATTCTGCTTGTTCTGCCTTCAGAGTCCTCTCTATTAACAGTTGTTGGAGCTTCTCATTGCAGTAATTTATACAGAACTGTTCAAAACTAGAGATGCAAAAGATTTAAATAACTAAAGTTATGCAAAGAGACCAATTTTTAAAAACCGTTTAAGGATGTTCCTTAATTAAAGAAAAAGCAGAGTTGTTATTAATAAAATAATTTACTAAATAGATAATAGAGTCAAGTTAAAATATGTTTGCATTTTTTATGCTTATTCCACTTCTAGAATGGTCTGTGAATTAGGGCTATGCAAATCTGGAGAATTTCTGGGGATGGGCACGTCACTTCTAAGAACGTTAGAGATCATGTAAACCTTGACTGAGACCTTAAAGAGGGACAAACGATGGGTAGGTAGGTAATGACAAGACTCACCCATTCCTGTCGAGGACTTCAAATCCATAGATATCGAGCAATCCAATCACAGTTTTCTTGGTGAAATCCTAGTCAAAATAGCACACACCATTAATGATTAGATCTTTTACTTTGTGATACTCAAAATCCTGTAGCTTCCCCAAAGCTGGGACTTGGCTATAAAGCTCATGCCTTCTCTCTCCAACAATGGCTCGCAGTGGGTGGGAAGAATGTGCCCAGCCTTCTCCTCCTGTCTGCAGCCTGCCCGGATGCCATCGCGGCTGCCATATCCACCACCTGAGCACTGCAACCTCCCCCTTCCGATTCACTTCTCTGCTTAAGCCCTCCTCAGCCTCCCAAGGCCATGTTCAACCCCAAAAGAAGAAAGAAAACGACCTATAGACAGCCAGGAAGACGCTTAGCCAGGTGAGAGGACAGATGGTACGGGTATCATCGTATAGAGGACCAAGTACTGTCAGGCAAGGATGGACAAAGATAATATGCTTTTTTTTTTTTTAAGGGACATAATTTAATATTCTGTATCAATGGGCTGAATCGCTGCCTCCCAAAGCTGTCTTTTGCATCCTGCATCTGGGAGTTTCAACATGTCCTTGTACTCCACCCTCTGGTATCATTTCCTTAATTTCTAGCTTTGAAGAAACTTCCTTTTTTATTTAAATAATTTCTCTTAAAAAGGAAACGTGAACTAAGTGTGAGTTTAGAGCTCTAGTTATATATATATATATTTTGACATATTAAAATATATTACTGCTAAAATAAAAAGTTTCAGGGCTGGCCAGTTAGCTCCGTTGGTTGGAGCATGTTGCTGATAAGACCAAGGTCAAGGGTTCAGATCCCTGTATGGGCCAGCTGCCAAAAAAGAAAATAATAATAATAATACAAATAAAAGTTTCTGAGTACACCTGAAGCCATCTGGCTTACCACAAGTGCTGTGCCTACCACACTTTGGGATACTCTGTAAAAGCCACTCAGCATGCATTCCTGTGACCTGCTGTATGCTAGACATTGGAAATGTGGATGTGAAAAGATACCATCTCTGCCCACGAAGAGCTCACAGTCCATTCTCATAAATGCTTTATAATAACTGTGGTGATTATAAAATATGACCACGTTAGGGAGAGCAAGTCACCCAAAATGTGTTGACCAACCTTGTTAACTAAGGAGGAATTGATTTTGTTGACCAGCCAAGTAAATGTCCTTCCATAAACAGCCTTTGCCATTGCATCTCTAGCATAGACAGAAAGTTCTAGTATCAATGGGCATATCACCTGAAAAAAATGACAAGGTGCATTGTTAGACACGAAGAAAAAAAGCTCCCTGAGTTTTTTAGTCTTTAATGGTGACTGGCAAAGGATACATGTGGGGGAAATTCCACTACTGCCTGTTGTCATTCACACAGTAGCTATTTCTTGAGTGCCCACTGTGTGCCAGGCACTGTGCTGGGCTGCTGAGATATAGCCTTGACCAAGACACACAGTCCCGGCCTTCCTGGGCTCACAGTTCAGTTGGGGGTGGTGGTGGGGGTTGGGACACAGGGGAGACATCTGAAGAATCACACAAAGAAGATTCACGTTGCGAGTGGAGTGTGACATGTGCTATAAGAAGATGCAGATGGTGCTTTGAGGCAGGCAGGGGTGGATGATCTGGGAAGGCTCCTTGAGGAAGAAACCCCTGGGAACTGAGGAAGGGGGAGAAGTTAGCTAGATGAAGCATAGGGAACAGTGTTCCAGCAGAGAGAACAGCAGTGCAAAGACCCCATGGAGGGAGGACGTGGTGAGTGTGAGGCATGGAGTGCTAGCGTTGGTGCGATGGTGGTGGTGGGAGTGGCGGGGGAAGATGGGCAGGACACCCTGGCAGAAGCTGGACCACTCAGGGCCTAGTGGGCTGGGTTCCAGGTTTTGGCCTTCCCTAGGGCCACCATCCTGCTGTCATATGAGGCAGGCAGCAGTGGTGGGGAGGGCAGGCATATTTCCACCTAGAGCCAGTTTTTACCTCCTCGGTTTTGGCTTCGGGCTGGGTTCCAGGTTTTGGCCTTCCCTAGGGCCACCATCCTGCTGTCATATGAGGCAGGCAGCAGTGGTGGGGAGGGCAGGCGTATTTCCACCTAGAGCCAGTTTTTACCTCCTCGGTTTTGGCTTCAATCTTTCTGTGAGTGAGAGCTTCCAGAAGGACCGATGGATGGACCCCCAGGAGCTGAATAAAAGAAATCCAAAGTGCCATTCAATGACCTAGTTTTACTCACTCACTTATGAAGAGTTTGTGGAGTTTCCAGGCCCAGGGTTATTTATCCACCCTGACTGATCATTGTACTTTAAAGCAAAACAGACCACATTAGATCTTTCAACAAAGGGGCTTTTCTCCATGCCCACTCCCCCTCACTTAAACTTCCTAACCAGGGCTGGCTGGTCAGCTCAGTTGGTTAGAGCATGGTGCTGATAACACCAAGGCAAAGGGCTCAGATCCCCTTACTGGCCAGCCACCGAAAAATAAAATAAAATAGAGTAAGCCTCCTAAACAGTATCAGCTGAAAGAACATGTGTTGGCCATTTGGGCTCAACTGTGAGCATGCAGCTGCCCCTGCTCTGCCTCTCAAAGGTAGGGTCCCCCCTCTGTCCTCATCGAAGAGGAACATCACCTTGGCAATCCATTTGATCTCATGGGTATCTGGGATGGAGGCACAGCCCCGGTCGTCTTCTTCAAAGCAAATGTTCCCCAGGTGCAGGACACTGGCGATAATTCCAAAGAGATTCTAGGAACATGGAAAGAGGTTGGGGGCAGGGGACCAGGAGGACAAGGAGAGAAAATGGCTCATTGATAAATGGCATCGGCAGAGACACCTGAAGGGAAACACCCCCTTCTGCCAAATTCCACCCCCAAGTTCACAGAACTGAGCCCCTCTCCTACCCAGAAATCGGTCCTCTCACTCACTTCGGATGTAGAGGCAAGAGAGCCTCACTCAAGGACCAGGAGGACAAGGAGAGAAAATGGCTCATTGATAAATGGCATTGGCAGAGACACCTGAAGGGAAACACCCCCTTCTGCCAAATTCCACCCCCAAGTTCACAGAACTGAGCCCCCCTCCTACCCAGAAATCGGTCCTCTCACTCACTTCGGATGTAGAGGCAAGAGAGCCTCACTCAGTCTCCAGCACAGAACACTTCTATTTTCACACACAAAAAATCCCTTTTATTTTTCATAAAATAAACCACTTTTATAAACTGTTTTATAAAACATTTTATAAAATAAACCTCAGCAAAAATACCACTTAATTTTCAAATGCCATAGTCTCAGATTTTTTAAAAACCCCATTCTTGTCTTTGTAAGATTAATAGTCTAACAATCAAAATGAAAAAAAGAAGACAAAAAGATGTGAAACAAAATGTTTATAATCCTACAATTTGTTCCAGTTTGTTCCAAAATAGAATCTTAAATAAATGACACTCCTATGATTCTATGGAATTTAAATTGTTGAGAGTGGACTTAATTTAGGGGAAGAAAAATATCACCTCCTCCTTGCACGACACATTGGGAAAATTTAGGGCTGGCAGATAAAATAACAGAATGCCCAGTTAACGTTCCAATTTCAAATAAGCAATGACTAATTTTTTAGTATAAGTTTGTGCACATGCAATATTTGGGACATACTTATTCAAAAAAAAAAAATCTTCATTGTTTATCTGAAATTCGTCAGGAACCGAGCATTCTATATTTCTATTTGCTGAATCCGGCAACCCTGCTATGCAAACCCCAAGATGCCAGGACTGTTTCCTCAACCCCAGCCAGAACTAGCGGTCTTGTCCCCAGCACCCATACCTCAAGGTCAGCGTCAGTAAAATCGATGACAGAAAAGGCATTGGACACAGTTTTCCAGTCGTTCTTGTCGTTAATAGATGACTCCTTGGCACAATGACCCTGTTGACAACAATCGGGTCACAACGACATTTTTATAAGGACGGTAAGTGTGCATACACCTATTTCTAAATCAAAATGCTTTTCTTTGCAAACATGCAAAAGCTAGTTCTGTCGTATACTAAATTGTAAAAAAGTAGTTTTTACTCTAATTGTCTAGGATATAATGATTTGCCAACCGCTGCTTTTCCCCATTTATTTGGAATTTTATTTTTATGTCTCTGTTCTGGGAAAAGTTTCAAAGTTACATATTAGTGTTACATCTTTTGTATGTGTTTTTAAACATAGTTTTTGTCATTTTTGCTAAATAAATTGAAGCTGTTTGTCTTAATAAATACCTGCTGAACCATGGAGGGAAATTACAGTGCTTAATCTCAGAAAACAGTCTTGACTTGCATGAGAATCTCCAGCAGTTATTTCACTGAGGGACTAGATGGAAGGAGACCCTCACTCAAGGAAATAAAAGTTTGGCATTTAGAGAAACACGGATTTTATGGAAATGGTCACTAGCAAAGATGTGTTAAGACTTTTTCCACTAACTCTAGAAGTTGTCTTTTAAATAACTAACAGGCTGACCAATGTCACAATTTAAAGGAAAAAAATCACACTAGACAGGTGTTTTTTATTATTTTGCTTTTGTGGTACACAGTGTTGCTAGCTTCCCGGTTATCTGAAGATTCATTATCTTAAACATTTTCTTTGTTGTGTGAGGAAATCAAAGGTGTCATACCATGAAAATATTCACCAGTAAACTGGCCAGTATAAAATTTGCAACCTCACAATATCCTTTCCCACACAATCAACAGTATCTGCCCCTTCCCCTCAGGCAGTGTCTGAACAAGTCAATTCCTCTTGGACACCTGTTGGTTTGAAAACAGTGCAAATATACTACAAAGTAAAGCCATGAAATTAACCAAAGTTATAGGAGATCACGAAATTGATTAAAAAAATAATAGTGGCAAGTTGCTAAAACCATTTCCAAAGCCCCTGGGACATAAGGATCTGGGTAGATTGGTGTGGCCAGAAAAAAATCTGCAATAGACGTGTTATATTCCAAAAGAGAATGATTTGATTATCAAAGGGTTAGAGAAGCCCTTGAGGAAATGGATGAAGCCCTCAAATACTTTTATGAGTTGATCATCTCTGATCACGCTATGAAAATTCAAACATGATGCAACCGTACAGTTTTTTGGGAGGGAAAATATTGGGCTCTCAAAAAGAACAACAACAACAAAAAATCAAACTTAATTTATTCTTCATTCTAAAAATTAGATCAAAATTTGTTAAATATAAAATGAGATTATGAGATTCTTTTATCTTCATTATTTAGCTTTAAATAAACTTCAGTCAAGCCTTCTTTTCTTCCATGTTTTCTGTGAAATACCGGCCCTTATTTTGTGAGATTCACTTTATAAGACCTTGTTCTCTCTCTCTAATAATACCCCAACCTGCATTCTGCAAAGTGACCTCAAAATCAGGCCCAATAAGAAGAGAAAAATTTAAAAACCCTGGGACAAAAAGGGTGCTAGCAACATCAAATACTGACCAGTGTCATACAGTCTGGGCATTCCAGAATCCTAGTGCAGGCTGCAGAAGAATGAATGCTGCAAAGTTATGTTCTGACAGTCTATTTTGCAACACTAGACCCTGAAATTGCTTAGAGAAATGGCCTGAACTATTTCTTTAAGGTAGTACATTCATTTTGCAGCTAACAGTTCTCAAGATAGAAGGCAGGAAGGTGGGGAAAGGTCTTTTCAAAGCTAGTTTGGAAGCAGAATGAAGTGGCATAGGTTGTGGACATAGGTGGATGGTTAGTTTCTATCACATGTAGACCAGCAGTTTTCACCTGAGCTGTTCATTAAATCACCAGGAAAACATTTAAAACAACTCTGATGTCCAGGTTCCACCCCAGACCAACTAAATCTAAATCTCTGGAGGGTAGGACCCAGGCATCTGTGTTTTTAAAAGGCTCCTCAAGTGATTCTAACTTCACCTAGGACTGAGAACAACTTGCCTAGACATTGGCTACTTTACCAAGATGATTATTTTGCTTTTGTGGTGCAGAGTGTTGTATATAGCTGTCAGGCATAAGAGGAGACAGATTAGCTTGCTTGTGATAAGTGTGAAGAAATCAGCCAGTAGGTACATCCCAAAATGATAACAAAGTTCTCAACCTATGGCAGCCCCAACAAACACCCTCCTCCAAAGGTCACCAACACCAGGTGCTGGTCCTTCCAACCTGCGAGAGGTATTTATACAGCTGGGGGTCTCGCTCAAGTCCCAGGTAAGCAAGGTAATCCTCTTCAGCACCTGCGAGCAGCTGGTAGAAAATGTGGAAATTCCGCTCACCCTGATTTTGATAGACGACTCGGGACTTTTCTATCAAGTAACTGATGATATGCCCACCTACGGGAATGCCCTTCAAAACAGAACAGAAAAATTCAGCTATGACAACAATCAAGCCTCTTTCTTACTGGCGTCTTCTGGGAGAACAGAAGTTCTTAATTTGTATGAAGTCCAAACTATCAATCTTCTATGGTTAGCGTTTCCTGGGTTCTTTTTTTAACAGATTTTTGCCTACCCCAAGGTCATGAAGATATTTTCTACATTTCTGTCTAGAAGTGTGATTGTTTTAATGTTTATGTTTGGGACCACAAACTATTACTATTTGATTTTTGTTTATGGAGTGAGGTAGGGGTCCAAAGTCTTTTTATCCATGTTGATATCCAGCTCATCAGCACCATTTATTGGAAAGACAACCTTATCTCTACTGAATCACAGTGGCACTTTTGTCCTAAGTCAGGTAACTGTATATGTGGGGATCCTTCTGTACTTTATTTTGGTCCATTAGCCTATTTATCTATCCTCATGTCAATATCACACTGTCTTCGTTATTATTTTAAAAGAATTTTTATTCCAGGACACATACAAAACTCTTGAAAATCAATGAAAAAGAACAGACAACCCATTTCAAAATGGGCAAAAGATCTGAACAAAAAAAGAGGACCTTTAAGTGGCCAATAAGCAAAACTTTGTTAATTATCAGGGAGATGCAAACTTAAAGCACAGTGAAAAGGTGCCGTACCACACCACAATTTCTAAAACTAAATGGACTAACAATACAAACATTAGCAAGGTTGTGGAGCAATGGGAACCATCATTAATTATCATAACACTGCTAGTAAGAACCCAACAATTCCACTTCTGGGTATATACACAACATAAATGTGTGCTTACATGTACTAAAAGGCATGTGCAAGGATGTTCAGATCACTATTAGTAATAGCCCCAAATTGCAAAAAACTCAAATGTTCATCAACAGGAGACCAAATAAATTGTGATATAGTCATACAAGTACAAAATGAGCAACTACTACATGCAACAACATGAGTGAATCTCATAGAATAATGTTGATTGAAAGAAGCCAGACATACACTAGATATAATTTCACGTATATAAAGTTCAAGAACCAGCAACATGAATCTGTGATTATAGAGGTCAGTATAGTGGTAATCTGTGTTAAGGGGGATATCGTTGGAAAAGGGCAAGGGAAACTTCTGGATGCTAGAAATTTTTATATCTTGATCTGAGTGGTGGTTACACAGATAGCTACATGTGTGAAAATTCATTGTGCTGTTCTCATGATTTGTGTCCTTTTCAGTATGTGAGTTGAACTTCAATAAAAAGTTTTAAAATATACATCGCTATTCAATTTCTTTCAGTCAATGCACATGCCACCAGAGGTGTCCATACCAGCCTTTGAGAAGCCCTGAGCCAGTCTATCCTGATCACTGCACTCAATGCTTAGCTAGCTGGGGTTCTCTAGTCCAAGTGTCATTTTACCACTTGGACCTATATGTCCTAGAGAATTGTGTCTACTCTTCCCACTTGCATTAGCCCCATTTAAATTCTGCATATAACACAACCACACTCATTCATTTATGTATCATCTATGCCACTTTCACGCTGCAACAACAGAATTGAGTAGTTGTGACAGAGGTTGTATGGCCCACAAAGCCTAAAGTATTGACTATCTGGCCCTATCCAAAAAAGTGTGCAGACCCACAACGTAAGGAGGCATACCTAAACAATACATTGTTTACTTTTTTGTTTGTTTCTTTGTTTTAGTGGCTGGCTGGTACAGGGATATTGTTTCCTTTTGATTATTGTTTTTAAGCCTTATAAAAAATGGCATCACAATGGCACATGGTATATTCCCCAAACTCCTCCGTGTTACGTGTAGCTGTAATTCATTTACTCTCACTGCAACGTTGTGTGAACATACCACAATTTAACTAGCCATTCTCCTGTCCATGGACATTCAGTCTTCTCCAGATGTGTTGGTTGTTTTCAGTTCTTTTACCGTCATGAGCATTGCTATTGTGAACATGCTTACACATCTGCAGGGATAACTCTGGCAGTGGAATGGCAGCCTCTTCGACGATGTTTTCCAAATGAGTTTTCACATCGTTTTCCAAATGGGTTGCACCACTGTACACCCCCCAGCAATGTGTAAGAATTCCTAATGATCCACATCTTTGCCAACACCTAGTATTATCAGATTTATTAACTTTTGCCCATCTAGAAGATGTAAAATGGTGTCATTGCGGTCTTTATTTGCATTTCCTAAAACTATCACTAACCCTAGATATTTTAACTGTTTGAGCCCTTCCTCCCTTAAGATGCCTTGGGTTGGGATCCATCACTGGCAAAATAAGGGGTTCCCATGAACCAATAATAGCAACTTCAGTGTACCTGAAAGTCAAACTGTATGTCCATGTATTTTCCAAATCTACTGGAGTTGTCATTCTGGAGCGTTTTTGCATTTCCAAAAGCCTGGGAATACAAAGCATCATTCACTGTCATTTAAATTCACCATGCTTGTCAAATTCCTGACCCCAAATAACATGCTTTAAAAATGGAAGAAAAAGAGAGGAGCCAGGGAAGAAAGCAATACTTATCTTCTAAAAAGGACTTAATGCCAAAGGCTAGAGCTGGACTCAGAGAAAAGAAGGGAAAAATATCTTCTTAGAATCTGATCTAGAAATACATTAGAAATGGCCTAAGGAGAAGCACATAGGACCCTATGCCCTTGTTGTCCTAGAAGGCATAGTGGACAGTCCCTATCAACAGACCCCTTCTTAAATCAAATTGTTTAGCTCAAAGCGTCTGCTGGGAAAATTATTTCAATTATGGACATCTTCTTTTACAGAAACGGCCACAAAAACACAGGAGAAAATGACTTGTTCAGGATTAGCCAGCAAGTCAGTGAATTGCAATAGTAGAAATAATAACAATGATTTAATAATAAAGATATTAATAAATAATAAAGTATTAGTGCTTTCTAATTCTGCTGTGTGCTTTTTGTGCATTCATCTCATTTAATCCTCAAAACTTCTTAAGAAGCAGGTCCTATGAGCAGACCCATTCTACAGATGGGTAAACGGGCTCCCGGATTTGGAGGGACTTGCAGAAGCTTGCTGGTGCTTGGCCATGCTGGAATTAGAATCTAAGCCTGCCAGACTGAATTCAAGGCAATGCCCTTAACCTTGACACTACCCATGAGACTGCTTTTTTTTTTTAACAGAGCACTATTTTGACTGGCCTGCCCAGGCAGAGGATTCTTCTTACTTAGTGACCTTCTTGGAACTCCCCTCTGTCGGTCTTCAAAGATCACTTACCTCTAGCACTGGATTGGACAGCAGCAGTCTGTCACGGGCTATTTGTAGTGACTCAGTCATTGGACAGGTAACTGCAAAATACTGGAGAATCTTCTTGGAAGCTTCTGTTTTCCCTGCCCCGCTCTCTCCAGAAATGAGGATGAAGTGGTTACTGAGCTCAGAGCACATCATGCGGTAAGCGTTGTCAGCTATGGCATAGCTGGAGAGGTAGTGACACAGAAACAAATTGGTTTTAATGCTACTTCCCTTGGATGTGACATCCACCAGAGCAGGACAAAGTACCCTGCCTCCGGGAAGCCACATTCAGACTGTGGTTCAAGGACACTGAGCTCAGACAGATATCAAACCCCCACTATGACCCACTGACTGATCAAACATGAAGTATACTAGATATCAAAACTCAAAGAGTAGAAGAGTTAAAGTGAGGAACTTGAGCAATAATGAAAGCATTTTTCAAGATTTGTCAAATTTATTTGTCAAAAAAATTTACCAATTTTTATAAGAATAAGCAAGATACTAAATTATGTCCCCAAGAGACATTCTATTAGCTATAGGTAGAAATAACGTGTTGTCTAAATATGAGGGTACCTAAGAAGATTTGTGGAAAAATATAATTAAAAGGTAATATGAATCTCTCCACGAACTTTTTGAAGACTTCCCAGATTAAATAATTTAATAAATATAATAAGATCTCATGTTTTCTCTTTCCCTCAAAACCTAGAGCACTAAGAATATAGAGGCAGGAAACCAAAGAGATTTAGAAAACTATTGTGATATCTTTAGGATAAGAGGTAAAACTACTATAAAGGCTTTATCTCCAAGATCAGAAACCAAAGCATGATGGTCTCCCAAGAGTATAATCTTAGCATGTGGCACAGTGTCTATTTCAGGAAGTACTTGGTGGTGATGATGCAGAACGGTCTATAAATGCCTTAGGAAGTGGAGTAGCCGAGTCACCAAGACAAATGAGCGGAGAACCTAAATATTATTCCAGTCAACCAAGGAGGAGAAACTGGAAGACTCAGCAAAGCCTCAGCCATGCAGGATTGGCAGGCAATTGCTCATTTTAGAGATTCCACAGCGCTGGTAAGTTTTTTTCCTACCAATGGGCCGTCTTCTTAGCCGTCATGATACTCAGGCACCAGTAGACGGCACTATAGAGACCCACTTCCCAGAGAAGACCTTTCTAGCCACGCTCTTAGATTTCACCTCTTGTATTTAAGCTGAGATTCAATAATGACCTTAAGGTTTTCTGCTGCTTTGAAAGACTTATTTCACAAGAAGGCAGCAGCTTAAGTGAGGTCCAGCACCTAATGAACATGCATCAAGGATTTGGGTGGGTGGGAAGGAGGAAGAGAGGGATGGAAAAAAGAAAAATAGAAAGGAAGGGGAAAAAAATAGAAAAATACTCCTAGTGATGACTCTGGATGCTACTTACACATGGGGTGGCAGTTCAAAGAAATTGACCCCTTGATAAAGTTCCATCTGGCTCACAGTGTAGATTCCGAGCTCCTGGTATGGATTCACGGATACAAGAAGGGTCCCAATATATGTCTAGAGGAATGGACCAAAGCATGAATGAGGAATTCTGGAGAACAAAAGACTGTCACACCCTGTGATCCCCATGTGTTCATTCGGGGCTGGAGATATAACACAGGTGAAGTCTCTGCCATCATGGAGCTTACATGGGGGTGGGTCGAGGGGAATGGGCAGACAAACAACCAAGGGATCAAGACAGCTTCAGTGAGAGGTCAGTGTTAAGAAAGGTGTACCTAGGGTAATGAAAGTGTGAACGACTAAGGAAGGCCATATTAGCTAGTGGGCTTAGGGAAGGCTTCTTTAAGGAGATAATGTCAGAGCAGAGACTTGAAGGATGAGGAGCCAGTCATGAAAAAAGTGGGTGGGAAGGGTGTTTTAGGCTGAAGAGTCCAGTGTGGCAGGCTTGGTGCACTGCAGGCCAGCGTGGCTGAAGCTCATGAGTGAGCAGAGAATGGTAAGACAGGATGTCAAAGAGGGAGCAGGTTCAGATCATACCATCCCTGTGGGCTGACAGGAGGAATTGGAGTTTTATTCCAAATCCAATGGATGGTGGAGACACCGCCCACCCCTACTGAAATGAAATACCTATACATGAATAGATGCTTTAAGAGGTGAGCACCATGATTGGATTTATGTTCACAAAGGTCTCTCTGGCCATTGGGGAAAGCAGGGTGAGAATATCTACCAGCCTCCTAAAACTGGGCAAAGTACTCCCACTATCGACACTTATTTCCCTAGATTTCAATGTTAGACTCTACTCATGTTCAAGTTTTTCAAGTACTTATACTTGCAATATAACCACTAACATAAGACTTTTTGAAATACAATTATGTATAAATAAAGAGCTCCAAGTTCTTATGTAGAAAAAAATAATTATTGGGGCTCCTTTGAAAAACACACATGGTATTTTCAGATTCTGAGTTTGTTGTTGTTTCAAATACTGCAGGTACTAAAGCCTGCATCATGATTATGCTAAAATCATTCCAACTAATGTTTCCAATCTCCAGGGCAGATCCAAACAGAGAACCAGAACGGAGGAGAGTGTTTTGACTAAAATTCTGTATTACTTCAGTCAGTAGAAACCCGCTCTTCCGGGGTGGAAGGTAGTTTCTGAAATTTCTCATTTTAAATAGGAAATGTTTAACTTAATCATGATTTGTACTCCTCCAATACTATGATATTTCTCCTTTGCTTACACAGAAAATTAGATGGATTTTGTTTTCCATTTCTACAATTAAGGGTGATAATTATGAAATTATAATAATTGGAATTAAGAAATTGGAACTAAGAAACACCTTGCTTATTTTTTCTGGTAACCTTGGTTTCAACATATAGATTAAATCACAGGCACCTTTACAAACAAAATAGCTATAAGAAAAATATTTTTAAACAGCTTCTGATTGCCTGATTGACTTTTAGCAAAAGCTATTAAAATATCAAAAAAATTTAAATAATTTTAATAATTCCCACAAAACACACAGGGACACTACAAAGTTTACACTAGAGGAATTTACCCCCAAATTGACCAATCATATCAGGGTGTGGTGATAAATGGAGAATTTACTAAAAACTGACCACTGCTACATGGGACAAGATCAATCTGAGAAGAGTTCTGGGCAAGTGCTGCAGTCTTGATCCCTGCAGGTTCAGAGGATGTGGTAGACATCTCTTACTTTTGCCAAACTAGCATTTATTCCTCTTCTTTCAACAGATTCCTTTGAGGAACCCTCTTCCCCAGCTCTCAGTCCATATTATCAGGGAGCTGTGACCCTACCCCTCACCTCCAGGGGTGGGCCTGGGTAAACCCCATGGGGTTTGGTTCAGAGATAGGCACCTGACTCAAGATGGGCCATTCAGAGCCAACTAATACCAGCTCTGATAGGCACATGACTTGAAATGAGCCAGTCAGAGCCAATCACTGTCAGCTCTGGAACTGTCTCTGGGAAGATGTGCTCTCTTCTTGCCAACACCAAGCTGATAAAATGGCAGCCTGGATCTGCTGGCAGCTGTTTTGCCACCATGCGAATAGAGCTGGCTTGAAGAGGAAATTGATGCAAAAGAAAGCAGAGCAGAGAGATGGAGAGAGTTCTAAAGACATCATTTGAAACCCTACATCTATTGCTGGACCCTAAAGTTATTTAAGTTGATAGATTCCTTTTTGTGGCTTACGCTGGTTTAAGTTGGGTCTCTGTCACTGGCAGCCAGAAAAGACTAAGCACAAAGGATCAAGGTACATCTGCTAATGGTCCCTCGACACCTCCCTTTAATGTTTAACCTAACAGAGTGATATTGTTTACAATCATCAAGGCTGTGAGGGCTGGGAGGTAGGGGGAACCACCGCTTTAGGAAAATAGCTGAGAAATGGGTTAAGTTACATATATGAGGTTCTCATTGAAACGCTTGCGAAGGTTGTCCACAAAGGCAGATTCGCTGGTGTGCGCATCCAACAGCACAAAATCCTGCACCCCGACCTTGTCCCGGGCAGTCAGCGTCCCTTCCATGTGCAGACGGATGTGCTTCCTCCTCACTTCTTCCTACAGGGAACCATACAGTCCTCAGCAGCTCATTTTTCCAGTACTTTCTATCACATGTCTAACGCATGCAAATAACAAGATGCTAAACTCTGCAGTAGTAGAGAACTGAGATTAAATTATGCTGTCTTCATTTAGAGTTCATAATCTGGTTAAAGATACAAGATGATGATAATAAAAGCAAATACACATATATATTTATAAAACATATAAAATATGAGCCACATATACGATGATGGTCCCATAAGATTATAAGGCAGCTGACAAACTCCTATCACCTGGTGACATTATAATGTTGTAATGTCACAGCGCAGTTACTTTTTTTTTTTATAAACTTAGCATAGCCTGAGTTTACAGCGTTTATAAAGTCTACAGTAGTGTATCTAATGTCCTAGGCCTTCACACTCACTCACTGACACCCAGAGCAGCTTCCAGTCCCACAAGCTCCATTCACGCTAAGTGCCCTGTACAGGTGTACCATTTTTTATCTTTTAGACTGTATTTTTACTGTACTTTTTCTATGTTTAAATATATTTAGATACATAAATACTTACCATTGTGTTACAATTGTGTGCAGTAATCAGTACAGTAACATGCTGTACAGGTTTGTAGCCTAGGAGCCATAGGTTATACAGTATAGCCTAGGTGTGTAGGAGGCTACAACATCTAGGTTTGTGTAAGAACACTGTGATGTTAGCACAAGGATGAAATCATCTAAAGATACATTTCTCAGAACGTATCCCTGTTGTTAAACAACGCATGACTGTATACGTGACAATAGCAACAGCTATATATGTATGAACTTGAGATGGATCTTAGGCCTGAATGTTAATGTGAAATCTATGAAACTAATAGAAGAAAATAGAGAGGGGTATCTTTGCATCCAGAGGAAGGAAAGTTTTCTTAGGACACAGAAGAAATAATAAAAGAAAATAAGAAATTAGACTTTATTGAATATAATTCTTCTCACTAGAAGACACTGTTAAGAAAATGAATAGGCAATGTGCAGACTGGAAGAAAATATTCACAAAATATATACCTGCGAAGGATTTGTATCCAGAATAAAAGACTCCTACTGCTTAATAATAAAAAGTCAAACCCAATAAATATTGGGCAAAGGTCTTGAATGGACACTTCACAAAGGAAGATAGACAAATAGTCAATAAACACACAGAAAAATGCCCAACATCATTAGTTATCAGGAAATGCAAATTAGAATCACAATGAGAAACCACCAAAATAATTAAAATGAAGAAAACTGACAATACCAAACACTGGCGAGGACATGGAACAGACAGAACTCTAATACATTGCTGGCAGAAATGTAAAGGGATCCAATGACTTTGGGCAAAGGTCTGGCAATTTCTAATGAAGTTAAGCATGCCTCTGTCCTTTGATCTGGCAATTCCACTCCTAACTATTTACACAAGAGAAATGTAAATATATGTCCACAAAAAGACGTGAACACGAAGTTCAACTTGTGCTCAACTTTATTCATAATAGTCCCAAACTGGAAACAATCCAAATATCCATCAGCTGGAGAGTGGATGCGGTACATCTGTACAATAGAATGAGTACCACAGTAAAAGAGAAATAATGGATACATGCAAGAGCATGGAGGGCTCCCACAGACATTATGCTGAGTGAAAGAGCCCAGACACAAAAGGGTTCATACTGTATGGTTCCATTTCTGTGACATTCTAGGACAAGCGTAACTAATCTGCAATGAAAAATCAGAACAACTGTTGCCTGGTTGGGGGGTTACTGGACAAAGGACATTTTTGGAGTGATGGAAACGTTCTATATCTTGACAGGCCTATGAGATACATAGGTGTATCTATTTGTCAAGATAAATTGTTAAAATTTGATGCCTTTTGATTATGCACATTTTTTTTTAAAAAAAAGAACCGTAAACAATAATCAAGTGGGGAGGGGTTGGAGAATAGGTGGAGGTCTAAATGAGAACAGAATGGCAGAACGTTAATAATTGTTGAAGCTAGGTGATGAGTCTAGGGGGGGTTATTATATTCTTCTGTTTACTTTGAATATATTTGAAATTTTCCATAATAAAAAGTCTTAAAAAACAGAATGGCCACCAGATGTCTCCCTATACTACCTAAATGAAGCTAGAATAAACAAAATCACCAGCAATCTAAGGTTGAAAACAATGCATTTAGGTCAAACAATACTTAGTGATTCCAAATATTTCCATTTTAAAGTTTTTTTTTAAGGGGAGGATGAGAGAGGGGTTTGGGAAAGGTTGATTAATGAATACAAAATTACAGCTAGATAGAAAAATAAGTTCTAGTGGTCAACAGTACTGCTAGGTAGGCATCCATAATTAACAATAATTTATTGTGTTTTCAAATGGCTAGAAGAGAGGAGCTCTAATACTCTCATCACAAAGAAATGATACATTTTTGTGATTATGGATATGCTAATTAACCTGATTTGATCATCACATATTAGGTATGTGTATTGGAAATATAACTCTGTACCCATCAATTATGTACAATTCATACATGTCAATTAAAAAATAAATTAAAAACAAAACCAAAAAACACTCCAATGGATAATAAATAAAGATGACTGCATGGTCAGAAATTTTTTTTAAAAGGGTTTTTTTTTTTTTTCATTAAATTTTTATTTTGTCAATATACAATGTATATGATTATTATGGCCCATCACCGACACCTCCCTCCCTCCCCCC